GCGGACTGAAGGGTCCTGGGTTGGATTGCGCTCAAGGGCACGTACCTGGGCTGCGGGTTCCATCTCTGGCCCTGGTTGGAGTACATGTGGGAGGCAGCCACTCGATGTGTGTCTCCCTCTGTCTCCCCCACTCCCTACCGCTCTCTCTAAAAATCAGTGGAAAAACATCCGGCCATCGGTGGGGGGCCAGCCTTGGGAGCGCCCGGAATACGTCCTGCAGCCGCAGCCTGAGCTTTAGCCCTTGCGGGGAGTGTGACCGGGACCGAGGGGCCACCAGAAGCATGGAGACGGTGGTGATCGTTGCCATAGGCGTGCTGGCCACCATCTTCCTGGCCTCGTTTGCAACCTTGGTGGTGGTTTGCAGGCAGCGTTACTGCCGACCTCGGCCCCGGGACCTGCTGCAGCGCTATGATTCCAAGCCCATTGTGGACCTCATCGGTGCCATGGAGACCCAGTCTGAGCCCTCTGAGCTGGAACTGGACGACGTCGTCATCACCAACCCCCACATCGAGGCTATTCTGGAGAACGAAGACTGGATTGAGGATGCCTCGGGTCTCATGTCCCACTGCATTGCCATCTTGAAGATCTGTCACACTCTGACAGAAAAACTTGTTGCCATGATGATGGGCTCCGGGGCCAAGATGAAGACTTCGTCCAGCGTCAGCGACATCATCGTAGTGGCCAAGTGGATCAGCCCCAGAGTGGACGATGTTGTGAAATCGATGTACCCGCCGCTGGACCCGAAGCTCCTGGATGCCCGGACAACGGCCCTGCTCCTGTCTGTCAGTCATTTGGTGCTGGTGACCAGGAACGCCTGCCACCTGACCAGGGGCCTGGATTGGGTAGACCAGTCGCTGTCCGCTGCTGAGGAGCACTTGCAAGTCCTTCGGGAAGCGGCCTTGGCCTCTGAGCCAGAGAAAGGCCTCCCAGGCCCTGAGGGCTTCCTGCAGGAGCAGTCGGCCATCTAGTGCCGGCTGGCCAGCCGCTGACCACAAGGGCCGGCCTGCTGTCTGCGGGCGGCCCGGCCGAGCCTTCCACTTTTCCTGTCGTTAGTTCCGCACGGCTTGGGGTCCAGCTGTGTGCATCATACATCAGGGGAGAGCCCGTGGGTTGATGCCTCTGTTGCAGTTGCAGATGGTGGCTGGCGAGTGGCAGTCTGACACCACAGTTAGGGGAGACGCCACTCACCGTCTGCGCGGCAGCCCTCTGAGCACTGGTGGACTCTAACCTTTATTTGGCTCACCTGGAGCTTTCAGGGAAACTGAGCCACCACCTGAGAATCAGGAGGTTTCTCATCGCAATCAGCATTTCTGGCTTCCCTCGAACAATCAGAAGGTGAGGCAACTCTGACCTGCATTTTCCAAAGAGGACAATCAATTGGAACTAAGTAGGAGTAGCCTTTTTTTTTTTTTATCCTCACCTGAGGATACTTTTCCATTGATTTTTAGAGAGAGACACAGAGATTAGAGAGAGACACACAGAGAGAAGCATCCATCTGCGAGAGACACATAGATTGGTTGCTTCCTGCACACGCTCTGACCAGGGCCAGGAATGGAGCCTGCCGAACCTGCCGGGAGGAGGGACCTGCCCTCACTTTGCTCCATGAACCTCAGAACCGGGGCGGCCCCTCCCCAGTGACGAGGCGCTGGAGCACGGGGTGGGTGCGGGGCCTGCCATTCGCAGCGGGTTGCAGTCCTGCCCCCGCTTACCCCCACCCCACACGACAGGAGGGAGGAGGGAGCGGGCAGCAGGTGAGCTAAGACACCTGTGACTAGAAAGAGGGAAAACCTAGGGCCGTGGAGCCCCCCTCGACCAGCGGGTGTTGATAAAACTGCCGAGCACAGACGGCTCATCTATCTCCAAGCGCACCTGCGAGACGGCGGCTCAGGGGAAGCCGTGTGTCATCTGGTGTCTCTCTCAGGAGATCAGGACTGTCCCTGTTGGCAGGATCATTGGGTTTGATTTCCGTTTTTTTTTTTAATCCTCACCTGAGGATACTTTTCCATTGATTTTTAGAGAGAGACACAGAGATTAGAGAGAGACACACAGAGAGAAGCATCCATCTGCGAGAGAGACACATAGAGGTTGCTTCCTGCACACGCTCTGACCAGGGCCAGGAATGGAGCCTGCAACCGAGGTACAAGACCCTGACCAAAATCAAACCCGGGACCCTTCAGTCCGCAGGCCGAAGCTCTATCCACTGAGCCAGACCAGCTAGGATGGGGTTGCCTCTTTTTGCAAGACTTGTCCTCTCTCCCCTGGTCTGTTTCATCGATTTGTGTTATCTGCCCGATCCCTGAGGCATCTGAGTCCCTCCTCCCCTTCACAGTGTGTGTTTGAAGGTGAGCACCTCAGAGTTGATTATTCCCTTTTCATCTTTATGCCTGTAATTTGACCTAGTTACCACTACGTGGATAGTAAATGCATACTTAGGTTTAAAAAAAAAAAAAAGAAAAAAAAGAAAAGAAAAACATCCTCAGTGAGAGACACAGCCTGCGACCCATCAAGCAGCTGGGCAGCCTCATTGATGCCCTCCGGGAGCAGGAGCAGGAGCAGGAGGAGCAGCAGCAGCAGCAGCAACAGCAGGAACAGCAGCTGGATCAAGAGCCGTCCTGCCAGGAGCACGGGGAGCGGCTGCATCTCTTCTGCGAGGACGACGGCCAGCTCATCTGCTGGCGCTGCGAGCGCCATGGGCAGCACAAGGGCCACAACACGGAGCTCCTGGAGGACGTGAGCCCCGGCTACAGGGTGAGTGCCCCTTCTGTGCCCCGAGACCCCCCTCATCCAGCCCAGTGACCACTCCTGCGCCCCGAGACCCCCCTCATCCAGCCCAGTGACCACTCCTGCGCCCCGAGACCCCCCTCATCCAGCCCAGTGCCCCCTCCTGCACCCCGAGACCCCCCTTATCCAGCCCAGTGACCCCTCCTGTGCCAGAGACCCCCTCATCCATCCCAGTGCCTCCTTGGGTGCCAATACTCCCCTCATCCAGCCCAGTGCCCCCTCGGGTGCCAATACCCCCATCATCTAGCCTGGAGGCCAAGGTTGGGACCCTGAATTCTAGCTTTCCTCGTGTGGTCCTTTCTTCCAGCAGGAGGTAGGGTGGGGGGTGGAAAGTGGGGGGGAAGAGAGTGGCAGGAAGGTTGAGGGTGGGTCCTCCCTGAGTCAAGTCCTGGCTGTCCAGCCCCACCTTCCCCGGACGGTCAGACTCATATAGGTCCCGGCTGCGATGAACTGGTCCCAGCTCCAGTGCACCATGTGCTCCAACACACACATGCGTGGTGTTTTTTTTGTTGTTTGATAATCCTCACCTGAGGATATTTTCCATTGATTTTTAGAGAGAGTGGAAGGGAGGGGGATAGAGAAAGAGAAACATTGATCTGAGAGAGACATGGATTGGTTGCCTCCTGCAAGCGCCGCAACCAGGGCGAGAAAACGGCAGCTGAAATTCGTGCCTTTGACTGGAATGGTACTGGGATGAGGCTGTAGCCACTGAGCCCGACCAGCCAGGGCCGCACCTGCACATTTTGTCGCCTCTCGGGTGCATGTGATGAGACGGCGCCATGTGCAGGGGCACGTGGGGGAGTGAAAACACAGGGACCAGGACGCCACCTCACGGGCTGCCTCCCATCCAGTAGGGAAGACACACCAGCGGCAGGACTGCCTGGCCTCCATGGCCTGGGGGGTGGGAAGGGGCGTCTCGGGTGCGGTTGGTCCCGGGGAGCCCTCCCAGAAGTGAGTCCCGAAGGAGCCTAAACACTAACCATATGGCCTGGCCAGCGTGGCTCAGTGGTTGAGCATCGACCTAGGAGCCAGGAGGTCATGGTTGGATTCTTGGTCAGGGCACACATCCCGGTTGTGGCTCGCTCCCTAATAGGGGTGATCAGGAGGCAGCTGATCCATGATTCTCTCTCATCAATGATGTTTCTCTCTCTCTCTCTCTCTCTCTGAAAATAATAACAATATATGCATAGTAGAGGCCCCAGTGCACGAAATTTGTGCATTGGGAGTGGGGTTTCCTTCAGCCCAGCCTGCATCCTCTCCAATCTGGGAACCCTTGAGGGATACCTGACTGCTCCAGGGATGGGGCCTAAATGGGCCTGTCAGGCATTCCTCTCACAATCCAGGACTGTTGGCTCCCAACCACTCACCTGCCTGCTGGCCTGATCACCCCCTAACCATTTCTCTGCCAGCCAGATTGATGCCTAAGTGTTCCCCTGCCGGCCCAATCGCCCCAAATTACCCTCCCCTGCTGGCCCGATTGCCCCCAATGGCCCTTCCTTGCAGGCCTGGTTGCCCCCAATGGCCCTCCCTGCTGGCCTGATCACCCCCAAATGCCCTCCCCTGCAGGCCATCTAGTGTGTTGGAGGGATGGTCAATTTTCATACTGGTCATGACCAATTTGCATATCAAGGCTAATTAGCATATCATCTTTTGTGTTGGTGTGATGGTCAATTTGCATACTGGTTGTGACTAGTTAGCATATTAGGTCACAACTAATTAGCATATCCAGTTGTGACTGTGGCATTGTGACAAATTTGCATATTACCCTTTTATTAGTATAGATTTTTAAAAATAAAAAAAAATTAACGGTATGTAGGAGTGCTGAGAAAAGAGGTCCCGTTTAAATATTCATTTGCTACTATTATCATGGGACAGAGGGAGTAACTTATTTTAAACCATGTTGTGAATCTTCAATTGGAGAGGGAGTTTCCCATGT